AGCGGCTTTCTCTCAAATAAAAATATTAAAACTTTTATTAACAGTTTTAACAAAGGTAGCTTCACTTTTTTTTTAGGATAATATTCTTATAACAATTATAATCACAGTACCATTTATAGCTAAACTTATTAACAAATGAAGCTGCTATTAAACAAAACAAAACCTAAACAAAAACCCCAATTTGAAAGACAACGTAAACCTTATGTTAACTTATACATATTATAATTATAATCACAGCACCGTTGCGCGTACCTACCGCCTCGCTGCTGCCGCGCGTGTAAACAAACAGCAACATAGTTCTGTATCACAATTTTATAGACTCCATTATGATTTCTCGAATTCTCGACTTTTCAGGAGCTTAATTTCCCGGGATCAAAGCTTAGAAATCCCGGGAATACTCGTCTCGAGAACTCCCGGGAATGAACCCTATTCGGAACAATTCTGCTGGCTTGATCTCGGCTTTCTAGGAAGCCGACGTGAAACAAAGCTTGCGTTATATATCATCGTATTATGCGATAACCTAAATCCCAAATTCCCTCAACATTTTCAATCCTCAAATCTCCAAACGTAATGCACTTACAATTATTCATTTGGTGCGGTTGTCCATGAGCGGCGCCGATTGCTTACCATTAGGTTATTAATTTCTAATTATAAGTTTCCCAATCAGCATTGAGCGTCCGTGGTGATTAATGCTCAAAGCTTCTTCGTGTGAGAAGAGATTTTTGGTGCATGTGTGATATGTAGTATCAAAAAGCCACGCGTAATTAACAACATATATATTAATTTACGCGGGTATTAACGCGGGAAATTATTATTTGAATACCTTGGTAGGCTTGACGTTTCGACCCGGTTGCACAGGTCGTGGTCACAAGCAGACTGAACGTGTAATTCTTTAAATTTTACTTTTCGGAATTAAATACATTTTATATTTTTAGTACAAAGAGATTTGAAAGAAACTTTTTGCAAACAACTTTACCAATGTAGCTATAAACAAATAAATAAATTAAAAACTTTCGTTTCTATCGAATGCAAAGATCGAATGGATTGGAAGCGCGAGCGTCGCTTTCATTCGTTCAGTGTTGCCACTGACAAATGTCACATAGGCGTCTATTATTTGGTACTTTATTTTTCTGGGATTTTTTTTTTTTTTTACTCTATTTTTTAATCATAAGCCGTTTGTTTTTTTGTAGTAGTTTATTATTCAAACAATTATAAAAAACATATTTAAATACTTATTTTCTTATCTTAAGTTTCTGCGCAGATTGGCGTCATGCGTTAGTGACGGCCATCGCTGAAAATCAGCGCCGCGAACCCGTCTCGTACGGGGTCGCTGCATAATGCTGAGCGAGGGCCATTTCGCGTGCTTGGACGCATATTTTTCTCCTACCGTCTACTTTTGTGATATTGTTTTTACCATGCTTAATGTATTTTTATTTTAACTTTATTTTATTATCTTGTTCGTTTTGTGTCTTTTATGCGTCCCAGACGCGAATAAATACTTTTTCTTTCTTTCTTTCTTTCTATCTATGTACTAAAAATGAACAGTTTATACTAAACCAACTTGGATTAGTCGTACCAACCCTATTGTTCTCTTTATGAAACGTGCTCTCTCTTTTTTTCACGCTACGTAAGAGTGAGACAGGTACACTAGGGGTGCGATTTCTAATCTTGTTATTTCATTCAGAGGGGTTGCAATTTCAGTGGTTCTTTGGTATAACGGTTAGCGATAGCACCTTAGGATTAACTTAGATTTGCTTAAATGTTATTAATAGAGTTTTCCTTGCAATATTGTTATGTTGTTAGGTTTAGTGGACGAAAGTAGCTGGTTAGTGAGAGAAATCCATTCCTCCAGTATATTATCATGTTTGCTTTTTTAGTTGCCGATATGGTTTCAATGTGTCTTAGTGGCCCGGAGGTAAAGGCGTCCGCTTCTCATGCATGACTTTTTCCGAGTTATATGTGACATACGGTGATGGAAAATATCGCGAGGAAACCTGGACTTAAAATGTATAAGTATAAGATTGAAATCACTTATATGCGTTGAACCAAGCGTGGTAATTAATGTCAAACCTTCTTCGTATGAGAAGAAGCCTTTATCTTAGCCTTAGCCTTTAGTTTGAGAATTAATCGCCACGCTTGCTCAAGGTGGATTGGCTGTTTCAATCCTTTAATTTGAATTTATAAGTCTAGGTTTCCTCACGACACTTTCCTTTACCGTATGTCAGTGGTGTTTTAATAATTATAGACAGTACATATAACACGGAAAACTTCACATTAGCACTAGCCAGGTAACCAACCTGCACTCTCATGTATGAGAAGAAGGCGCCTTAACCTCCGGGTCACCACCAAGCAAAATATGTTTGTAAACAAGAAAAAAACCCACTCCTACACACTTTAAAGCATTTTTGTGAAGAATCTTAGAAAAAACAGTTAAATAAAGTGCTTCCGAGTATCGAACATGGAGGAATGTGAGAAAGCAGACTTGGGTTGCGACAGTACACACCAAAATACCTGTTTTTCTTGAATCTCGATTTTTATTTAAAGTAAATGAAACTGGTTAAAATTAAAGCAAATATTGAACAAATGACCGTTGAGAAGGCAAGTGGAGAGTTAGAGCTGTGATGTCAAGTAGACTCTATCTCCTTTTCAGTCGATACTACAATACACCATCTTACACACACTTAAAAAGTCTGGGAGAGTAAAGCTTCGACACGAATGGGCCGGCTCGACCGGAGTGATCCTCACAGAATATCAGCATGAAACAACCACAGAGTTGTGTTTCACCATGTGATAGAGGTTACCGGAGGCCTAATCCCTCCCCCTCCCCTATCCCTTGCCGATCCTTATATCCGCAACCCCTATCCCTGATAGGCCGGCAACGCACTCGTAACTCCTCCGTTGCGGTTGTCCATGTGCAGCGCTGATTGCTTACCATCAGGTAATCCGGTCTGCTCGTTTATCGGACAAAAGTATGTTATCCACTCTTTCCCTTTCGTAGTAAGTAGACATCTCGTACTCATAACAGGTAGTGTGCATTACCTATTACTTTTACCTGTTATGATAAATACGCCTCATCCCTACGAGTAAGTATCCCGGTCGAGTTAGCAGTAAAAATTCTTCGAAAGACCGTTCATGTAAGAATTTTCAACTTCTGATCGCTACACTGAGGTTTCTTTACTTTGACTTGCATTTTGGATTTTTTTGCAGTTTTCGATGCCTTGTATGCAACAAGGCAAAGTAGGGTCTTTGTGTGTTTCCGTTTTTGTATTTTGAAACTAGCTTCGGTACTCTCGTTTTCAGGCTGAAAAGTAGCTCTCTGTTATTCTAGAGTACAATCTATCCTTGTAAAAATTTTCACCAAAATCCATTCGGTAGTTTTTTATGTGAAATCGTTACAAACGTCCATCGATACAATTTCCAATTAGTTAAATTGAATTTTTTATTGAAGTGTAGAAAAAAACGATATTTTTATTATCTTTTTAAGAATTGCTCCGTGTTTCGTCAGAAGTTTTTACTTCAAATAAGATTTTTTATTTCTGAAAAACTTGCAAGACATAACTTTAAAATTAATAAGGTACCTATATAGTCAAAATATATTGATAAGTCATTATCCTTACTAATACGTATTATAAATAGAAAAGTAAGTTTGTTTGTTTGTTTCGCTTTCACGCCGTAGTACTGAACCGATTGCTTTGAAATTGCAAACGTAAAAAGTAGTAGCCGTAGCCTATTGTGTAATCCAGCTTAGAAGCTTTATTCCGAAAAAAAAGTCCCTGTCCCTGTCCCTGTCCCTGTCCCTGTCCCTGTCCCTGTCCCTGTCCCTGTCCCTGTCCCTGTCCCTGTCCCTGTCCCTGTCCCTGTCCCTGTCCCTGTCCCTGTCCCTGTCCCTGTCCCTGTCCCTGTCCCTGTCCCTGTCCCTGTCCCTGTCCCTGTCCCTGTCCCTGCACCTAGCGATCTGCCCCAGCTTCGTATGGGTGCAAAGCTGATACTTTCTCCAGTAAACAGTAATAGTAGTAGATATGTTTTATTAAAATAATTATGAGATATCATTATTTCAAACATAAAATGTTACTATAATAAAAATATTTAAGTATCATACAAGTTAATACATGAATTAATGAAATAAATAAATTACATAAAGACGTTTAGATGGCTCATATATTATATCACCGAGCCGCTCTCTGAATTTCGATAACATTCCGGCATTGGCATTCTATGAGGTATCTGTCATCATAAATATTTACCATTATTGATAACATAGGATTATATTGAAAACATAAATATATCATTTTACATAGTATAAAAGTAAATTGCTTTCTTTGTCCCGTGTCATGTTTGCTCAAATCTTTAAAATTATGCAGAAAAAGTTTTTGTGACCGTAAAATAGGGAGGAAAAAGGCCTCGTGGTTGTAGCTCAAATCAGCTCAATACGTTGGTCAGATCAGATCCGCACGGCCCTAGACTCCAACATCTACTATGCCCACCACACCGACAGCAACAGAATATGATGGAAAAAGATCGTGCGAGAAAAAGTGACGCAAAAGTGTGGTCACGACTCACAGCAATCAGAAATGCAACGCAACGGTATCGTCATTTTTTTGTCCTACACCCTACACCTTACCGATAGTGAAAAAGACGTGAAACAACGCTTGCGTTGTGTTTCACCGTGCGGTTGAGGGTACCTACCTAAGATCCAATCCTTCCCTACCCATCCCCAGACCACAATAATTGAGTAGTTTCCTAGGTCAAAAATAAATTAATTCGACGTTGAAACGTTGAAACGAACTTTTATTCATCGATCGATCAATACACTGAATTTTAGATATTTTTTTGCTAATTTTTAAGAAATAAGTAACCTATTTGACGCATAAATACTATGACGTCATAACTCAGTTTTTTATACAAATTTCATAGAAAAGTATCGTTTTTGACATTTGGATAAAAGTATTGTTTCCTTCATCGATTGCTTACCACAAGGCGATATTTCTTATAAAAATCTTTCATCGTAATCCAGAGAAGAAGTACTCTTTACTAAAAGAGTCATCATCATGATCATCAGCCGGAAAACGTCCACTGCTGGACAAAGGCCTCGCCCTGGGGAGGGGGTTGCCATAATCCCCACGCTTGGCAGGCGGCTTGGGGATCGCAGTTGGGTCACCGATAAATGAATGGAATGCTGCTGCCCACTCCTCGGTGTCTGGTCGCCGTTTAAGGACGTACCAGGGACTAAAAGAGTAATCTTCAATAAAAATAAAAATTGTACAATAGAATAGCTCCAATACAAAAACAGAATGAACTGAAATTGGAAACGGAATCCTTAAAATCCATAAACAACTATAGAGTTAATTTATTTACTTTGGTTTCCTTTGACCTTTTAGTTCGCGTGTTGCCCAAACTGTAAGTAAACAAACAAAGTTTAAAGGCTTGATTAGGTTAGGTGTAACACGCACTGAGAGCGAAGCATGCGCTTTTAAGGGGATTCAATGTAGCCAGCTTAATTTATATATTATGTTATAAGTTTTTAAGTGTGGGATAGCTATAGATATGGAGTTTCTTGCTGGTTTTACTCCATTGGAATCTAAACTTTGGAACGAGCAAATAGCTTCATTAAGAGGACTGAGCGATTGACTGAAAATTATTATCTTTATGCTTTGTTTGACGTTCAAAAGTGAGTCTAATTGAAATAAATGCTGATTTTGTCTTTTTATACTTCTGTTTTGACAGGAGTGGACCGGCTCGAGCGGAGCAATACCACTGCTTCACAGAAAATCTGTATGAAACAACCACAGCGTTGTGTTTCGCCGTGTGAGTAGAGTTACCAGAATCCGAATCCTTCCCATCCCGAACCTCTTAATTCTCAAAACCTCCTACTCTAAAAGTCAGGCAACGCACTTGCTACACCTCTGCTATCACGGGTGTCCATGGGCGGCCCTGATTGCTTACCATCAGGTAATCCGTAAGCTCGTTTGTGGCCATATGACATAAAGAAAAAGTACCTTTATATCATTACAGTTATAGAAAGAGATATTAGCAATAATGGCAGGTGTATGTGTTTACACAAATTACCTATATACATACATTTGTTAAATAAAACTATCAACATAACTTTACCATTATCATTTACATAAATTTAGGTATACATAATTTGACGCGTGACAAATGCACCTATTATTTTAGTAAAAACGTGGCGTTTTAGATCTTCTCTAAACGTAAAAGAACGCAGGCTTCTAATGTATACAAACCTTTTAAGTTCAAATTCATGAAAAATACTAAAATAAGTTGAATGAAACTTGCTACTCATATGTAATTTATCAATGTATACAACTATTGTATAACTATTGAAAATAACGATTTGATAACGTGAATATAACTGAGAAAAGCTCAACTAGTTTCGAGTCACAACGGAACTCTTATTCGTGAACTGCGTGCGCATTCTGGCGACTTCGAGACTTCGACTTCGAAAGAAATCTCTTGTATGTTCTCGAATCACTACCATACACTATACTAAAACTAAGGCGTTTTCACTGGTACTATATCCCTATGTACTTATGCTTAAATCTTTAAAACTGCGCAACCGATTTAGATGCTGTTACATGTAAAATTATTAGTGGAGAAAATTAGTATCATCACACGCGCGAAGCCGGGACAGGTAAGTTTTAGAAACTTGATGATTGTGTATATTGTGTATATGTATCAAATTGCTATAAAACCAGTTTAGTAGTTTCTCTATAATTTTGAACGAGTTCACTCTTAAAACAAATACTATAAAAACTCAACTCGATGAAACCAAAACAATAACAACAAGCCAATTCACATCATTAAAAAACTATATAATACAAGCGAAACCGCTTTCATTCGGCCTCCACACAGGACCACTTCAAGAGTTGAACGACCACGATATATTTCCACTAGCACCCATATTGACCTAGTAATAATGTTTATCTCGACTCCTAACTAAGTAAGCAATTGTTTTTGCATGTCGCCACTCTATTATTGGACGAAAGTGGTTCGTACTTTGTAAGTTAAATTGCCTCATTAATGAAAGTGGAAAGCATATAAATCATGGCTTTTATTTATTTATAACGAAGTTGTGCGTGTGTGTCTTTCAATTTAGTATGGAAGGAGTATTTAAATAGTTTTTTTTAAATGGACGCGGATGGTTAGCATTCTGCGCCGCTTATGGACATCCGCAACAACGTAAAAGTTACGAGTGCGTTGCCTATCTATTGGGGATTAGGGTTTTGGAGATTTAGAGATTGGGGAAAGATTATGGATACTAGAAACATCAGAGGACTACAAGTGCGGTGGCCATTTGGGAATTTAGGCATTTCACGCCAATTTTCTGCCAATCCGTGATATGACTCCGGTCGTACCCGCCCTTTACGGGGCGAACCCTGGATCTCTAACACTTAGAATTTTGGAGTTTTCAAAAAGACGTAATCAAATTGCTCCGTTTAAATAGTGCATTTGTAGTTGTACCTATATAGAAACAAAGAAAGAAAGAAAGAAAGAAAGAAAGAAATGTAGTATGTATTTAATATTTTATGATCTTTCATCAAAGAGGTTGCGTCCAGAGAAAAGAGGTTGAGAATTTTCAAGCCTGCCAATAAGGTTGGAGACCGTGGTACAAAAGATTCAGGTTTATCAAAGAGCGCCACAGTTCAGTGATTGCTTACCATCAGACTTGTATTCAGCTTGAGCATTGAATTTATTGTGTCCTAGCGCACAGACAGAATAAATTCCTGTCCTAATGCATGTTTAGGTACACGCATCTGTTATCCATATTAAATATTTAGTATTTGTATCGCGTAAAACATTAATAAATTCAAAATGGTGACGGTAGAAGTACGTGCAAACTTTTGCGTCATTTATCATTCTCTGTGGAATTTGTTCGTCTGTTGCGTTGACGACAGGAAAAAAATTGGTGCTAGTGTTTGTGAAATGTACAATAAAATTTATAACTGTTTTAAAGTGTTTTTTTTTAATAAATAGTTTTATTGACTTTGCCATGTCAGCCATGATTCAGCAAAAATGGGTCGAATCAATTGGAGCGACACCACATCACTTTCAACGAGTGTATGAGGTCACAGTCGTCAGATGTAATATCGAATACTGGGCTAACTAAATGTGATAGCACGGTAAACGAGCTGACAGATTTCCTGATGGTAAACAATCAGCGCCGCTCAGCGACATCCGCAACAACGGCAGAGTTACCAGTTCGTTGCTTATCCTTTGCGGATTAGGGTTTCAGAGATTTAGGGATTGGGGAAAGAAGGATAGGGATTCCGATAACCTCACTCACACGGCGAAACACAACGCCGATTTACTTTTTCTGTGAGGCCGTGGTACCACTCCGGGCGATCCCGTTCGTTCCAAAGCATAGCTCTCTCAAACCTTTTTTACATGTATTTTTTTATAAATAGCTTTGATTGTTATTTATTTAAGACTATTTTATTAATTTTTTGTCTTATGATAGACACGATTTAGCACAATTGGTTCGGATCAATCCCAGTGATACGACGTCGTCGCAAAAAGGAGCGACGAGTCAGTGAGGTTACGATCTAGAGTTGTAATATCGAACTCTCGAGCTTAAAGATTAATGTAAGAACACTGCATTTTTTTATACTTACTTATTATTGTTTTGTAAATTAGTTAAAAGAAGCTAACATTTTATGTGATACACAATTAGTGCAATAAAAAAAATAAGAAAGAAGTTTCTCTCTTTTATATTTATTTTATACTGTTGTACTAAGTATACCTACATTTAATTTTACAAATTTGTCTTAGGTATTCTTCGGCTGTACACAATAAGCCTATTTTTATAGGTGTTTTAAAACCATTAATATTCCCAAGTGCCCCATTACTACCAACATCTGTACACTCAAATATGAATCTTATTTTTATATTTTTATTCCGATTGTGGTTTATATTTGCCTCCATTTGTTATTCTGGTTGAGCCTCCGTGGACGTTTTGTAACGTATATTGTGTATTTCAATTGAAATGTTTCGTTGAAAAATGAAGAGCTCTTACATTCTTCGAATTTGGAACGTGGAATTTATTTCATTTTAAATGTAATATTTTATTTTGGTACTTGATGTATTTGTTTATTTTTTATAAAGAGGTTTTAATGGCTTCCTCAAATGTGTGGGACGAGAGGGAGTGTTATTTCCTTCTGCTGCTCCGAGCTGAAGCCGCGCATATTATCACACCACAACCACAGCTGGAGGATTTTACAGCCTTGTTCTCAGTTATCGCACTGGTGATACCTAAATATTTCTATACTTAGGGTTATTGATGTTCAAGGATATGTACAATGCCAAAGGCGTTAAAAGAGTGGTTCATACAGTTATTACTAGTAGGACACACTCGTTGTCTTCAAGCTTTGGGATACTTAACGGAAAGATCCGACCAAGTTTCATATATGCTGCCCAGCCAAGATAAAACCTGGAACAAGCCACCCCCTTGAAGTTGTTTCGACCAAACTGTGTTGGCCCGAAGTAAACATACTCCTGAAGTCCTGAACCAGCTTGAGAGCAGCGGTTAGGTGAAAAAGCTGAAGATGGACTTCAACTAAGGCCTATATACAGCAGTGAATAGAAAAGGGTTGTTGAAGTTACGTGTATGTAAAATAAAAATAAAACACAATAAAATAATTTTAATATAATTTATTTTCTGACTAGAAATTCTTAATTACACCAAATACCAGCTTTGGCTTCATCCCTTCAAGGCTGCCTTTGTCAAGCCGTCAGAAACATTAAGATCATAGAAAATATTATTTACAATACTGGATGAAAACTAACATTGATTTTCTTACCTTAAATATAAATAATAGCTATTAGAATTTATACTTTACAAAGATTCTGATAAGCTCTCATTTTGCTTAACCGTCATATTTTGTAATACAAATGTTGGTTTTGTTGCAACTGTACAAACATTGGTTTGGGTAAATCCAATGTTTGGACGAATAACCAATCAATCACAAACTATACGACAGATTCTATTTTATCATTCCAACGTTTGCGGCCAATATCAATTTATAAGCGGCACGATTTTTTTTCTTATTATTATAATAATTGCATCCTGAGCAAATATGAATATCTAATAGAGTAATATTTTCTTTTATTGTATCTATTTATATATCTTTTGAATAACGATCTGGATATTAATAATTATTGCAGAGTTTATAACACTATATCTACTTACAGATTAACTATTTATACAGCTC